CAGAGCCGCAATATTTACTGCTGGCAACAAAATAGCTCATTCGTTTTCATCTTTTGTTTCTTCACATTTAATTTTACTGCGGTCATTCGGCGTTCCCTTGCAGAGGGCCGAGTTTAAAGATCAGTTCCTTTATTGTACTTGGAAAACAGAGGGAAATCTGCAGGGTGTCCTATGATTAGAGCTAGAGCCTTTGTAAGCCTTAGAACAGAACTTCAAAGATGCACCTGCAGCTCCCATTAGCTTCCACAGGGTTGCACAGTCCTACTGAGCATGTAGGCGTGTGGTAAGTATGGTTTAAAAATGAAATAATATTTCTCTCAGTTTTTTCTCTTGCTGTGAGCAGGCCCTCCGGCAAAAGGGGCAATTGCCCCAGCGCCCCATGATTCCTAGGGGCCTAGGGCATGCTACTGCAGCAGTGGTGGCGGACAGAGCCCCGCCCCCCCTGTGATTTGCTGCAGGAGCCGTGCGCTGCGCAGCTCTGAGTAGTGATTTGAATGGTTGACCGGCTAACCACTAAGCATCACCCTTACTAGGTGAAATTGAGTGATTTACTGTTAACTCGTGGGCTGGAGCAGTCTCCGGATTATCACAGGCAGGCCTGCTCCAGCCCAGCTGCAGGAGCCCCTGCCTACAGTGGGCCTGGCCTAGCATGCCGTGGGCAGGGGCACTCTAGCCCAGCTGGAGCAGTCCCCACCTGCAGCAGGGTAGGGGAAAGAGGGCTGGGCTGCTCCAGCTCGGCTGTGGTGGGTGGAGTGGTGACCCCATTTAATCAGTTAAACAGGATTTGACATCCCTAGCTGTAAAGGCTTGGGAGTGGGGAGGGGCATTGTGGTCTGGGTGGCCCTGAGGACTGGTGGCCCCAGCCCTGCCCTTTCTGCCCAAGGCCCTGCCCGCTATGGGACATGGAGCTGACCCACCACATATCTTGCTCTGGGGCCTCCAGTGACTGTCGGCTCCACTGTCTGTGAGTTTTCATATTCAAAAGCTGTCCCCTGCCACGGAACAAATCCCATTTGATTGGAAGCCTAGTAATAAAACTCACCTAGGGAAGGCCCTTTCTATGCAGGTGTCTCTATCCATAACTCTTGCTTAAATGTGGGTGTTGCTAACTGATTTCTAGCGTAGTTTCTCTGGTCACTGTGGGCATAGAGTGTTCAGTTCTTTGATCTAAGATCTGTTATTATTAGCTGTTTGGGGCAGGGACTGTCTTTTTGCTCTGTTTTGTACAGCACTTAGCACAAAGACGTCCCGGATCATAATGGGCTAGGCATAATACAAATAATAAATAATGATGGGACAATAAATAGCTGTTAGCCAAAATGGGCAGTGACAGTGTCTGCAGTCCATCATAATCGGCTGATTATTAACTGTTTTCTTCACTTCTTCTGAAGCACCTAGCATAGCCACTGTCGGAAGACAAGATACTGGGCTAGATGCACCTTTGGTCTGACTCAAGATGGCTGTTCTTATGTGATTTTCTTATGCTAATCTGTCTAGAGCTGGCTGTCTGCCACAGAATCCATCCTGCACAGGGAAATTAGGCAAAAACCCTGCTAAATACAATGCTTATAGTTTAGTACCTGCATCTGAGTCAGCTGTGTATAGAGCCTCTAGAGCAATATAAAATACCTCTCATCCTAGTAATAGCTTACATATTTATCAAAAGGATCTACAAAATATATCCAGTCTAGTGATATCTGCTTTTCTGGTCTGCAGCTTATCGCAGGGCGCTTGCATACTTTAGCAGCAGTGAACCATGCATTATATCCTGCTTTTTTAAAGCACTCATATTCCATAAATTTGGATGTCTGAAACCTTGTGCAAAAACTCAGGATTGTATGTACATAGATCACATCACTCACGGCTGAATCCCCTCCCCTCTGACACTAAACTTTTATTTAACAGTGCACAAAAAATCTGTATGGTAGAAAGTGGAGAATAGAAGCAAAATCAGAATTTGGGCAGGTGCTTGCTGATACTCTCAGGGCAAAATTTGTATGATTTTTTTTTTTAAATGATCATAAGATGTCACCACAAAGCAGTCCTCTAAGCTTGTAGTGGACCACAGGCAATATTCCCTTTAAGCTGTTTCAGTGGCCACCCAGGAGAGATTCAAATGTGCTCAGCTGTTTAGCAGAGCTTCCACAGCTGGCAGCATGTATTTTTACTGGTGGGGCACATCCACGCATGCCTTAGTGAACATAACAAAACGTATTCCACACATGGATGGAAAAAATAGAGGGAACATTGGTCACAGGTGTATTACTGGCAATATTCCCTTTAAGCTGTTTCAGTGGCCACCCAGGAGAGATTCAAATGTGCTCAGCTGTTTAGCAGAGCTTCCACAGCTGGCAGCATGTATTTTTACTGGTGGGGCACATCCACGCATGCCTTAGTGAACATAACAAAACGTATTCCACACATGGATGGAAAAAATAGAGGGAACATTGGTCACAGGTGTATTACT